ACCCATAAATAGAAAGAGAGAGCCACTGGGGACTTTCTTAAAAGGGGTCTTTTAAAAGTCCCTAAGTTTAGAACAAATTCGAAAAAATTGATGTCATTTGCGCACAATTTCGGCAATCGTTTACGGGACAGTTGGGTTTTTGCTTGTTTGTTCGAAAAATTTGGAAACAAATTTGCGTGCTCGAAAGGGTCAAAGATCAATTTCTCCATTCTAAAGACAGAATTATAATGGGAGTACTTTAAAAATCGCTTGGACGGCATTGGTCTTTATTTTCAGAAGACCTGACGCTCGAATCATCCTGTTCCTCCTCTCCTCGGGCACGTATTTCGCTGTGTACCGCTGGCGCTCGGGCGCGGGCCCTAGGGCGCGTAGGGCGTAACCGACCGGTAGGCAGCCGTCCTGCCAGTCCAGTCTGGGCGTGGCGTGGCGTGGCGCGGCGTGGCGCGGCTGCGAGGAGCCCGCCTCGTTCTGACTTGGAGATGCGCCTGGGCCGGACGACCTGCCTAGCAGAGCCTAGGTTCTAGACCATCCTGATTCATATTTATTTTGTTACCGCCCTGGGTGGAGCGCGCGCGGGGCCGCGGGTTTGGAGGCGATCGATGTACAGCGATAATATATCGAAAGCGGATCGGATCTGCGTGGCGTCTTCACGAGTCTGCTTGTGTGCGCGCGTGGCGCTTCGCTGAACCAAATATGTACACTGCTAAAAGAGAGGAGGGGGAAAACGTGGTGGAAATGTTGTTGTTTTTTATGATTTATGCATCGAGGGTCTCGCACTCTGCTGCGTGTAGCTGGCTGTGAGGCGGTGGAAACACTCTGAGAAGTGCCCCGAGTGGAGTGGGCACTGCATGGGCGCGGGGCGGGGCCGTGGCTGTATCATCCATCTTCATGCGCTGCAGAGAGTGGCTGGCAACGCCCGCCCGCCCGTGCTGTGGCGGGTGTTGAAACAGCAGGTGATTCTTCTTTGGTTGGCACCCGGCCCCGGCCCTCCCTCCACCTCGCGTACACTCTCTCCACCCTTCCCCGGCCATCCCTCCACCTCGCGTACACTCTCTCCATACCTCTCTCTCCACCCTCGCCCCTCCAAAACACCGATTTGTTAGCGATGGCTATGGGTGAAATATGGTCCGTGA